GAAATTGTTAATAATTGAAATTAACGCTTGTGTCCTAACATAGGTTTTGGAACTTAGTTATAAGTTGTTTATCTCAGACTGCACAATTAGCTTTTGAAAATAATTTTGTTTTTGAGACTCTACCCCCGGGTAGAGTGTGGTGGCATCATTGTACTCATGGCAACCTCAAACTCCGTTGCTCAAGTGATCCTCCTGCCTTGGCCTCCCGAGTAGCTGGGACTACGGGTGCTTGCCACCACGCCCGGCTAATTTTTTTCTATTTTTGGTAGAGATGGGGTCTCGCTCTCGCTCAGGTTGGTCTCAAATGCCTGATGTCAAATGATCTCCTGCCTCTGCCTCCTAGAGTGCTAGGATTACAGGCGTGAGCCACCACACCCGGCCTGAAAATAAGTTTGAAGGGAAAACATGCAAATCTCTACCAGGAGGTTGGGCGGGGAGTGTTCCTTCTTTTCACTATGTACTTCTGTCAAATATTTCAGATTTTACTTTTTTCATGTACAAGTTTTGGCCAAAGTTAAAAGCATTACGTTTTTTTAAAACCCAATGTATTTACTTTTCCTTATATTAGAAATAAGTGCAAGTTAGGTGAGCAGATGTGAGCATACCTAAATGAAATAATGGAAAATTTTAGGTGTTCCCAGGATGTTCCCAGCAGCTATTGTCTTTGCCAGATTCTGAGTTAATGGCCAAATAGATTCTTAGCTTTCTATAACTGTATTTGAGGCAAATGGGGTGACAGAGTGTTAATGGGGAGATGGAATGTCCTGCCCAGCTTGGTTACCTACACCGCAGTGCCTTTCATGAAGGACCACACCTCCTGCACCTGAAGACCAGCTCTTGGCCCCGAACTAGAAGTCCACAGGCACCTCGGCCTCAGAAGACCCTGGGCTTAGAGCTCCACTTCGTTACCTGAAACCTGCTCCCATTAATAATGCTTAAGTTCAGGCTCCTGGTTAGCCTGACAATGTGCTGGTTTCTGTTCCTTTCTTCTGTAGCTTCTCAGCCGATCTCCTTGAGATTTTCTCTACAACCCCAATTCCTATTACTTCTCCCCAGCATGACAGGGACCAAGCCTGCCCAGCTGAACTCGTGGTCTCGATCCACCCAGCTTCCCTGTGCCTTCTGGGATGCGTGGCATGAGTGAGAAGGTGGAGCTATCGGTGCTGAAATTTCTTCGGAGCCTCTGAACTCTGCACAGCAGCAGTTTCGGATGCCAGGGTTGTTAGGGCCACTGACCAAGAGGCCAAGAAAGAGAAATTAAACAGGAGCTAATTGCTCATAGCAAACTCTACTTCATGTTTAACTTTTTTGCTAAAACAATTGATAAATAGTTGAATATTGCATTAAGTGGGAAACACCTGTCAAAATCTGTAATGAGGCAAATTAAATTGTAATCTGGCAAACCCATCCTTTATCATGGTCTCAAATCATAATTGGTAAATCCATTCATTTCATAAAGTCTTGCTGAGCCCCTCTGAGATGCCAGGCACTAAGCTAGTGCTGAGAATGAGGTGCCTCAGGTCTGTGCTCTTAAAGATCTCGTAGCAGGTTGAGAAATAGACTCATAGGTCACTGCCGTCTGCTGTGATGACTGTTACAATGGAAATGTGAAAAGTCCTGTCGGTGCGAAAAGCAGGAGTGGTGTCATCATCAGCACAGAGTGTAGGTGTGGATGAAGTGGGAGGGAGGAAGGTGACATGCTGAGGGTCCTTGGAGGGGAATAAACAGGTAGAATACCTAGTCTGTGGTTGACTGTTTTTCTGTTTTCTTTCTAAATTTATGATACGATGATAGGAATCATGAAAATCTATGAATGTGTGCTCACAGTGACTGTCAAAACGTGCTAAAGAATAAATAGAATGACTTCAGAATAAATCTGACAATGCTGACATCTTTTATTTCTTCCTTGATTGAATGGATCAGTTCAGTGCCACTTAACTGTCTGGGTAAAGTAAGAATCTGTGCATTAATCGGTTCTGTGACTCTGAGTTTCAGATAGGAATGAACTATCATGATTAGCAAGACTGATATATCCAGGGTAGATCGTCATGAATGTAAACACTAATGAATTTAAGCCAAGTTAATAAAATTATAAATTACTTATTACTGTCCAAGTACTCTTAAAAATAATTGTGCTTTCAATTTTTTATTAGTTTATTTGTGCAGATGCTGGAACCAAACTAGCGGAGTCAACAATCCTGAGCAAGCAGATGATAGCCTCTGTACCTGGAGTAAGTCCTGACCAAATGAATTGTCTACATTTTTATATTTCATAGAAAATAAAGAGTGTAAAGTGGTAAGAGTGTAGGCCTTAGACTCACACCAGAGTTTGAGACCTGCTGTTTACTGGCTATGTGGTTTTATGAAAGTATTTTGACCTATGAT